AAAAAATGTGAAAAAATGGGAAACGAATTTCCTGGGACGCTGCCTTCAACACACTAATGGCGGTTTCTTTCATTTGATTTTTTTGGTTTTCTTCTCAAATAACTATTGTGCTTGATCTACCTGCTTTGATCTGCCGAACGAAATGTGAATTCATATCAAACCTCTAGCACATGTATGAAATTCTGCTAATAGACATAGGTGATTGTAAAGATGACGTTTGTTACGACCGGTTCGAATGGTTACGGTAAACTTGTAGGGTTTGTCAATACATTTTTTTTTGGAGAAAGACTTATTTGAAAGTTGCTCTTCAAATTAACAGTCACTCTAATTCTTAGAATTTTACAAGACATAGGGGCATAAGCTAATATCTTCTCCATGACGAAGGCGGTCGCCCTTTTAGGTTCAGGGCATGCAAGGCTAACGCGCACGCAGCGCGCGGACAATTATAACCATTGGGGCGCGCTCGGATGACCGCTGACCAAGCGTGTCGTGTCCTATCTGGCGACCGCCTTCGTCATGGAGCAGGTATTCATTTTAGAGCAGGAATTTAAAATCACACGATTTGATAAAATCACTAGTTGATTGACTTTTGTCAAGTGTTTCACGTAATCAGTAAAACTTTTGCGTGAAGAATACTTTGAAGTATTCGCTAAATAAAAATTTATTTACTATTTGTCTCAATGCCGTAGTCCTTTACGTTTGATTCCAAGGTTACTCAGCAACTCACGATTCGAAATGCTTAAAGATTGTATTAGGTTGTCGGATAATACCTACCACACTTTTTTAGTAAAACTGAACTCCGCAAGCTCTTTAGAATCTGTAACTTTGCTCAATATGTAGGGCACGACAGCGCGTACGCAACAGTATGACTCATGATGCAAATGCACAAATAGCTAGCAAGTTTACAACATGTAAGTGTACTCAAAACTACCGTACTTTTTTGTTTTTCTCGGCGTCATTTGTGTTTTTTCCCTTATAATTTTTTGAAACATATTCTCGCACTGTCTCTTTTATGGCAGCAACTTTGGTGCCGCTAGCATGTCAAAAACGAGGGGTGAAAATGAATCTAAAAGGTCAAAAAATCATTGAAAAATTATCTTTTTGCGTGCTTTTTGTAGATCTTCGAAAATTGTTCTTCAAAAAATGCGAATGTCATTTGAACGATAGTGATGTCCTATACTCGATAGAAACTATGGACCATATCCTGCCCGATTACCACATCGCCCGGTCTCTCCTTGATCACCTGGAAATTGTCCCGCTGACAAAAATGTCCATAAAACGTACTTCCACAGATAAAGTGGGTGTTTTGCGCACGGACCACGAATGTGACAGTACCGGTGGGTAGACCTTTGGACCCCGTTCAACGCTTTTTGAACATAAGAGCTATCGAAAGTTTCCTAATATCTAAGTAACAGAATTAAAAGTATGACAGAGATTATTCACGTAATGTAATAAATAGATCAAAACACAGAATCTTTTCTTAAATTCTTCACGGTGCTGTTGTTAACTCCTCGAGTGCTGATAGGGCTTTTTCATTGATATTCCTGACTATCCTAATGATAATAGCTTGAGTAAATGTTGAAGTGTAAGACCTAAGCTTTATCTCCGCACTACAGTACTTCTGAGAAAATGCTCCGTACTTCTGAGATGCTTGAAAAAGATAATTACTTTGAGATTTAAGGTGTACATCCATTTTACATGGTGATTGAACCCGATGGTAAAGCTCATGGAGTATTAATCCTGAATAGCAATGCTCAAGTAGGCTATTTTTGCCGTATAGATAATTTTAAGATAACATACGATAGAGCTCAATGAATGGAGAATTTCTTCTGCAGGAAATAACCACAGCGCCAGGACCAGCATTGATTTACCGCACAATAGGGGGGAACCTCAACCTCTTCTTCTTTCCGGGGCCAACACCTGAGGAAGTAACCCAACAGTATCTTGAAATGATCGGTAAACCATTCTTGCCTGCATATTGGGCGTTTGGATTCCAAGTGAGGAAAACAGTTTTTGACGAAAATTTTGACATTGACGTTTTACTTCCTTTTTCAGATTAGCCGTTGGGGCTACCACACTTTCGATAATCTAAAGAAGGTGATTGAGAGAAATATCGAAGCTGGTGTACCTTTAGATGTAGTAGTGTGTGACATTGACTATATGGATGAAAACAGGGATTTCACTGTCAGCAGCAAAGTATGGTATTTTTAAAAAGATATGATTCAAGTATAGTACAACGCTTTGCAGAATTTCAAAGGACTTCCAGAATATATAAGTTCGTTGCGCAGTAGAGGAATGCGTAGTGTGTTTATGTTTGACCCTGCGGTTCCAGTGGATTACGAGCCCTTTAATAGATCACTTCAAGCGGTCAACCTTTCAAAAAGGTTTGCCATCCTGAACAACTTGCTCGTTTTTTAGGGAGCACGATTCGTAGAATGGGAACGAAACGATCAAGTCATGCGATCAGCTCAAGTAAGTAAATTTGGCCTTGAAACTGGGATGAACCATATCTCAGGACCTTTACCCTTTGGTCGAAGATACAAAAATAATGCTTGGTGTGGTGTGGCCAAACGTGCATGTAGCGTTTCCTGATTTTTTGGATCCACACAATAACACAACGACTTGGTGGATCGATGAATTCGTAAAATTCCATGAAGAGGTGGGCTTAGCAAATTAGTTTTTCTCTCTGCAAAAGATACCAGTAGCATACATTTACGTCTTTGAATTTCAACAACTTGCGCATTTTCAATGTCATTCTCATAAAATGAGGAACTTTATCTTATTCATGTATTAAGTGATGCAATATGACGCTTGTTCCTCGAATTGCCGGAGCTGTAAAGACAAAAGTGTGGAAAACGTATTATTCGATAGACAAAAACAAGTTGTACAGGATGGTTTGAATTCGCAGACAGAACGATCGGGTACCCACATAAATTCAAAAAAGAAACATACCAGATATGGGATCTCCTCTAAAAAAATTTTACGGATCTTTAATTTGCTATACTTTCTAAATTTTCATGTACCGCTGTTTTCCCATGGCACTGAGAATCAAAAAACAGGCCAAAGTCGAAGATTCCTTTTTTTTCGGGATTTACGTTAAATTTTGAGTTTTCTCGAAAAGCAGCCCTAGTAGAAGGTCTTCACAGTTTTA